GGAGAACCGATTCTTAGTGAAATTTTGGGGGTGTGGATAAGAGGCTGGAGGTAATTGGGGGAGAGGTATTTTGCTACAGTCTCTCAGGTGATTCTGAGCTGAGGTGGGGGAATAACGTTAAAAAAAAAAAGACACCCAACACACACACACACACACACACACACACACACACACACACACACACACACACCATGCTCAGATTCGTAATCACAACCTCTTGAAGTTTGTGTCACCAAGCTTCTTGGGTACCAGGAAGGTCATTCTTAAAAAACAAAACAAAACAAAACAAAAACCTTTTCTTCATCCTCTCTTCTTTCTGTATTTCAGCCTGGGGAGGAGCTTATGCCAAAGGATGCCAGTGGGAAAGTTATTTTAGAGACAGTGGACCTGCGTGACACATGGGAGGTAAGTACTGCTACTGCCACCCAAAGGCACTGCGATAAGGTGGCCACCACTGGATGGGGGTCAGAAGAAATGGGTTCTGGCCCCATCCATTGTCTGCCCTCAGACACATCGCCGAACTCCTTTGTACCTCCGTGTTCTCATCTGTAAAGCAAAGGACTTGAATGGGATGACTGCTAAGGTTTAGTTTTGTTTTATCTAAACTTCTGTGATCCTTCATAGGTTGAGCCTGTGAGCCCTAAAAGAGGCATCTTCAGATGCAAACCCCAGAGTGGTCAGAGCCCCACCACAGGACAGACACGCAACCAGAAAGGGGAGCTGCTGTCTGTTTAGCAGGAGAGTGGGCTGCAGAAGGAGCATGCAGTCTGCCCATCTGCACCCTGCCCCATACACCTGTTTCCCGTTCTAAGAAAGAGGAAGCAGGAAAACATACTAGCAGAAAACCTGAGCATTCCCCTTTGCCCTTGACTAGAACACCATTTCTTAAGGAACTGTTACGTGCCTGATAGGAAAATAGGCACCATGGAGGAGGGCAGGGAGGTCAGGGAATTTAAAAGCATCTTAAAGTCTATTTATTGTCCTGGGTGTGCATGTCACAGACTCAAGGGCACAAGATATGTATACATAGCGATAAAGTGCATTAGGAAATAATATATCCAACTGATAAAACTGTTTGGTTCAGTCAGTTGTTACATGTGTTAAAATGGATTTCCAGTTTTTAAAAAGCTCAATGTGAAATGAAAGGGCCAAACTACACTAAAGGTTTGCCACCTGTGTCCTTCCTCCCCAGGCTCTGGAGAAGTGTAAGGATGCAGGTCTGACCAAGTCCATTGGCGTGTCCAACTTCAATCACAAGCAGCTGGAGATGATCCTGCACAAGCCAGGGCTCAAGTACAAGCCTGTCTGCAACCAGGTGAGCCCATGCCCACTGGGCTTCCTTGCTTCTGCTCTCCACACCCTCTTCCTTAGCTATCCATCCCAAGTTTCTAATTTGATGCCACCTGTACAGATGACTGTTCCTTTTATTGCAACAGGAAATGCCAGAGAAGCAACAGGTTGAGTGGGGTGGAAAGAGCATGATTTCAGTTATTCAGAGGTGGGTTTGAGGTTCCCAGGAGATGTCCTTGTGGAGATGCTGGGTTGGTAAGTGGCAGTGTTGTTCAGAAGGGCGGTTAGAGCTACAGGTATAGATTTTGGAGTTGTGGCTTAATGGGTGGCAATTTAACTCACAGAAATGGACTGCCTCTCCTGGGAAAGTTCATAGAATGAAAAGGAAGAGGGCAGGAAAGTCAGCATTTAAGGGTCAGGCAAAGAGGCACTCACTGGTTAAGAGATTGAATAGGAGTTGGCATACACAGAGAGAGAAAATGAGAAAATGAGACAAAGAGGGTTGAAAAGGTTTGCATGAGCCACGGGGTAGATTCTACTGGGAGCAGCCAATCCAAGCAGGGATGGAAAAGGTATGGGATATCATGACAGGGAGCTGATGGGGAATTTCAATCTCTCCGTGGCAGTTAGAGTGGTGAGGGGGAAAGCCGGAGAAAAAGCAAAGCTGTGGAAAGTGAGGAATTGGATAAATCAGAATTAAAAGGAATAACTTAAAGAAGTAACAGTGCTTCCGATTTTCAATCACTGTGATATTATGAAGTCATATAGCCCTTTTGTAAAATGGTTTGAAAATTATGCAAGAAACCATTCAAATATTTATACCCTTCACAGTAGTTATTTTACTTCTGGGAATCTATTTGTAGAAATATGTGATTCAAAATATGTTAAAATATGTTCCTTCCCCCTCCCCCACCTTCCCTCCCTTTCTTTCTCTCAGTTTAGTTGTGAAAGAAGCTAGGTCTTTACAAACAAAAACAAAAACAAAAAGAACCACTTTTCCACACAATTGGTTTTACTGATTGATCCCTATCATGCAGTTTGACATGTTACTGTCTTTTGTACTTCCTGTAAATTGGAGGTTACAGCTGAAGACTTGATCACATATATGTCATTGGAAATTCATGAATTTTAACAAGTATGAATTATATTTTCCCATCTAGGGAAGTTACTGTTCTTATTGATGATCAAATCGTCACCATTTTAGTCAGAAGGAGCCTCTTCAGGTGAGCTCCTGAGTCCTCTGACATGCCTTCCTGTCTTCTTTGTTTTTTAGAATAAGATATCCTAGGCTCAATTAGCAGTTTTTTGGGTTTTGTTTTTTTGCTGAGTACTGGAATCAGCCATTTTTCCTAAGGGACCTTGATTTCTCTCAGTAGAATATGGTATTTAGAGGTCACAACCTGGACATAACAGTCTCTTGTCATTTTAAACACTAATAAAAGAAATAAGAAGGAAATTGTTTTATCTCTTCTGGAACCCCGATAGCATTTGAAGGTATTTCAGAAGGTGCATGAGAAAACCACCGGTCTGAAAAATATGGTGCATGTGGCAATGTAGTATTAGACATTCCTTCAAAGGACTTTTCAAACTTGCATGATATTAGCTCATGTATTCTGATTACCTCCTGGTCTTGGCAATTCACAGGTGGAATGTCACCCGTACCTCAACCAGAGCAAACTCCTGGAATTCTGCAAGTCCAAGGACATTGTTCTTGTTGCCTACAGTGCCCTGGGGTCCCAAAAAGACCCAAACTGGTAATAAGAACATCAGACTTAACCTATGTTTTAGCAATTCTATTGGTGATGAAACACTTTTTAAAATTAAGCTTTAATATATTATTATGGAAAGCTTCAAACATAAAAAAAGCAAACAGTAGTGTGGTGAGTTCCCATGGGCCATCACTGAGTGTCCACAATCATCTACCATCCTTCCTTCCTGTTTCACACATACGCCCACATACTCCAAACTCCACTCCAAATATTACTTCTAAAAGCGATTTCATGGTGAAATTTACACAGCTTGTCATGAGTACATCTTAAGTGTCAATGTTGACATGTGGGAGTACTATATAACCCATATTCCTCTCCCTTGTCTGGGGAATTTGGGAAAAGGACCAGATTCCTGGTTCTACACCCTTCAAATCTGTGTTTTCTGGTTTTTGTTTTCAGGGTGGAAAAGGATAGCCCCGTTCTCTTGGAGGAGCCGATCTTACATGCCATTGCCAAGAAACACAATAGAAACCCAGGCCAGGTGGCCCTGCGCTATCAGCTTCAGCGGGGGGTGGTGGTCCTGGCCAAGAGCTTCAATGAGAAGAGAATCAAGGAGAACTTCCAGGTACAGGTCGGACCCTGTCCCTGCAGAGGGAGGAACGGGTGCTGTCCTGGGAGTATCTCTCACCTTTCAGCACGCACCCACGTCCACCCATTGCCATGCACCTCTCCCCTGTGTGCCATGGGGCAGCTTGGAAGAGTTGAACAGATAGCACGGGCCTCAGAGTCCTCGGTTTTACAGCCTCTAGGCCTGGCTTTGCCACTACCTAGTTGGGTGACACTGAGCACATCTCATCACGTCTTTTTCATCGGGGTTAGGAGTCCTTCCATGCAGCAAAGAACTTTTAAAACCCTACTCCCTCTCCTTCACCTTCTCTACCTAATAAACCCCTATTCCTATTTCAATAGCAAACCCAGATAGGATTAGCTGCTTTATTGAACCATAGGGACACCCCAGCACCTTTGTGGATCACCATAGCACTGGCATGGCTCTGTCAGTGAGTTTTCTCCTTGTTAAACTAAAATTGCTTGTTTATATGGCAGTGTGATCTCTAGACTGTGAGACCCAAATGTAGTGTGACTCGCTCTGGGTCATCCTTTGGTGAATTTTCCCCAGCAGAGGTCCTGGCAGGTAGAAAGCTAGATATAGGTTTATAGACTGACTGAATTAACAAATGAGCAAGTAAATCCCCCCCCCCAAACTCTCACTCTCATGTCTCTGGGTCCCGTAGATCAGTCAGTGTTCTTCAACTTATTTTGTTGTAAACCTCATGAGAAGCTCTGTGAAGTCTATCCCATTTTAAGATGATGGCTAAAATTTCATCGTGAGTTTAATATTTGCAAAAGATGATATTTAAAGCATGGTATTTATAATATATTTGCTTCAGAGCCTTGAAACTATAGATTAGTTTATTCAATTTATGGAAATGTCTAACAGGCAAACCTAAATCTCATTGTTAAACAATCAAAAAGAAATCTCATTTTATTTTTTGATTTAACTCAATATGTTAATACATGTCCCCATGACAACCAAGCCACTTCTGGAGTATATTTTTAAGACGAATGACAGATGGATGGATGGGTGGATAGATAATAGATAGATAGATAGATAGATGGATAGATAGATAGATAGATAGATAGATAGATAGATAGATAGATAGACAGAGGCACTGAATTTTCCACGATATTGTCCCCTGGGTGAAATGCTGTACTTCCTGCTATAATATTTCTCACCAAAGAGCTGTCTGCTTTGCTATTTATTAACAGACTCTCACTTAGGGGCTATGTATCGTCAAATAAAAGCAAATCTGGTCTTAAGTAAGAGAGGCTTTATCCAAAAGGGAGAACTCCCTTAATGTTGGGTCGACAAGTGTCTAAGATCAATCAGAAAGGTTTTTCTTTTATAGAAAAGAGTAAACACAACTAGAGAGAGAATGGTATTTGGAGGTTGGGATGAGCAGGTGTGCGGTTGAACAGTTGATCAGCGAATGCTTTTTCCTGAGGTCAACAGCTTCTTGGAGGTGCCTTTACGGGGGTCTGCTCTACTTTTCAAAGCTTGTTAAGCTCAAGGCAGCATCAAATTCAGGGGGTGCTGGGGAAGGGAAAACCTGACTAAAGTTTGATCCAGTCAGCAGGTATTTTGTCCAGATTGTCCAACTATCCCCCTTGTTTAGGGAAAAAAAAGAAGATTTTAAAATTTTCTCTTGCAAGCAATTCAGTTAGGAAGATTTGGGATTGAGTTGTAAGCCTTTGTTTTGTGGAGCAGAGCAGAGGAAGAGAGAAAGTAGGAAAGGAGAGGCGGAGAACCCAGGACGAGCGTTCTCAGGCCGGTGCCCCTGGAAGTGATGACAAGGATGCTTTCTTCTCTCCGGCCGGGAAGTCCTTATGTTCCCAGGTAGAAGCCAGCTGCCCTGGGGGAGAGTTTAATGTGATTCTTTCCTCCCTTTCAGGTTTTTGACTTTGATTTGACTCCAGAAGACATGAAAGCAATTGACGGCCTCAACAGAAATTTCCGACTTTTTAAATTGCCATTGTAAGTGACCTGTAGCTTGTTTTTTCCCAGATTGTTTCCTGTAGCATGTAGGTTCGCAGAGGAACTAAGCTTCCCTAAATCAGGAAGACAGGCCTCATTTCTGGTATAGAAGTGACACAGGAGCTTCCTGGAGACCTCAGACCAGAGGTTTACTCCAGGGCTCAGTCTCTGACCCAACAGAAATGTAAGTGGGGCCAGGACACAAACCATAAGTAAAATGGGCAAAGTTTGCATCATGGTGAATTCATGACTTTCAGGCTCTAATCCCTGTGCCTGGTGTGCTTCTACTCAGGGCTGACTTACTTATTCGACACAGAGGGCACAGTACCTATGGTTCACTATACTTTTAGGGCTGCGAATCTAAAAATGAAAGGCCTTTCAAAATGAGAGGCAACATGCATTTACTGAGATTAATAAAATATAACTATTCAGGAAGCACTGATTCAGGCAGAAGCCCAAACAGTGTTTCAATGTGGAGACAAAGGCAATGGGTATTTATGAGAAAGGGCAGGGGGACAGTGATATCCATAGAAGAAAGGCGTTGCTATCAGTGCAGGTAACATAACACAGGGATGCTAATTCTAAAGTGTTTTTAATGTTTAGTACAGTAGTCATCAGTCCAATAGTCATAACTTCTGCTTTCTTGTTATCTTTGCAAATAGTCCTTTGGGACACAAAGTTGCTTAAGCACAGTCCACAGATTGTTTTGTCCTGTTTTAAGATCCCAAAGGTCTGAGGCATCAGACGTGCCAGGCGGTTCCTCTGAAGTGGCAGGTCTGGCCCCATTTTAAAGTGGCTCCGTTTATACTATTGTTTACAATGGGCCTGTGGAAAATGTTTTAATTATTTTTGATATCAGGAGAAAACATAGTTGTATTAATAATGATTAGTAATAATGAGTCCAACCTGGGCTCTGTCCATTTTTATCCTAACATAGTTGTAAAACATAACATCAATATTTTTTTATGGAGGCGGGGACCATGAAAGCTAGTGTGCAAAGGTGTGGGCAAGTCGTAATGTGGCCACACTTCTATCTCCTCCCCATGTGTCAGTGGCATTTCTCCCTAGTGGGCATTCCTTTTCCAAGACACCATCTATTTCTTCCAAATTTCTCTCTTCGTTGGCCTTTTTTGTTGTTGTTATCACAAATCCCATTTCCTTAGCCATGGAATGTCACCAAACTGAATTGTAAATGGGTCAGGAAATTCATTGACCCTAAGGGTAGTGACTGATGTGTCTCCAGCGGCATACACCAACACAAGATCCTCTGGCTTTCTCTGGTTTCTCAAGTCAGCACTTGCTCAGTGTCGCCTTTGTCCATTAGGAAACTAGCCCCTGGGAGTCCCTAACTCCTTGACTTTGACTCACCCACCAACATAGCCTACTGTTCAGTTACTGGGGGGTCTCAGGGTTGAAGAGAAGGAAGACTAATCAAACTCAGAGAAGTTTGGAAGGGAGTTGACAGATCAGAGAATAAAATTTAGTTACAGAATAAAGATTTAGTTTCCAAAGAGAGACCTCAAAACTCTCCTTGTTTGTAAAGCTCTGCCATGATTCTGATAAAAAAACATTACAAAGGAAGAAAGGTGGGAGGTAACTTCTGTGCCCACGGCCTTCAAGTACAAGTCTAGGATCATCACCGGGCCGTCTGTGAGTCCAGTTGCACCCATTTCCCTGGCCCGTTGTCAACAGCTCCTGCCGCATGGAATTGCTCAGAATACACTTTTTAGTGGAATTGGATCAAAAAGGACAAATTTTGTAAGGAAAATAAAAACATGGGAAGAAAGGAAAACAACAGTAATACTAATTCCTGAATAACAAGCATTCTTATAGTGATAAGTTAAGGAAACAGTAATCACATTTTGCAGATATGGTTATTTAGGTGCATATATTATCTCATCAATAGATTAGAAGTTCCTTAACGGGGGACCCTGTATTGTTGAATGAATGTGTTAAAAAGAGCAGCAGACTCCCTCGCTGTGAGCACTGTCATGATGTAGGGACAAAAGCTGCACGTGGGCTGAAACAACCCCATTTCAGCTGCAGTTCCTACACCTTCTGCCCCTGGTAAACTGTGATTTAAAGCAAACTTCCTGTCCTTTGGTGTTTCTGTTTTATGTGAATGTGGGGGGTGTGCACACAGATGGTTGTGTGTCAGGGTAGAAGGAGGGACATGGTTGGAAATATGGAGTTTCTAGCCCGTCCTGACTGCATCCGCCAGGAAACTGTCTCCTCAATAGCATGGGACCGAGTTAATAAATGAGTATCCCTCCTTCTCTTTCAGTGCTGTTGATCACCCTTATTATCCGTTTTCTGAAGAATATTGACCGTGAACTACCCACCATGAGTTCTACCAATCTCTTCCTTCCGGGATGCGGAGAGGATTTCTGTGCTTGGTGGAGGTGATTAAAAGCATTTCTGTAGATTCAGGCTTCTTGCCTTTCTTCTTTAAATACAATTTCTTAAAAAACAATTTATAAAATAATAAAGACTTTGAAATAATGATGTTGGTTTTTCCTGGTAATTAAAATAATGCATACAATTACAGAAAACTGGGGCTATATAAAAGAAAAGAAAGAGAATAAAGATAACCTGTAATTAGCCTATTTAAAAAATCTGGAAATTTTGGTACATTTTCCTTCATAGTTTTCCTATACAAATGTGTGAGTGTTTATTTACAAAATTGAAATAACCTTCAACCTAGAGATTGTGTACTTTTTTTTTTACCTAGCCTATTTTTTCTAAGCTATCAAATATTATTTAAAAATTCCAGTATTATATTTCGCTGTTGTAAAGCAGTGCATCTTATTAATTTATTTAATTTCCTAATCGCCTGCCTATGTTTTGGCATTGTGATTTGTTCTTGCATATTTTGTCATTCATTCAGCAAAGCTTTAATGAAAATTTAATGATGGTTAGAAATGGATTCATGTCTTGTTAGGGAGACCACTTCATAGTCAGTGTAGAGGCCTGACCACTGCACTGTATTTCTGAAGCTGATGTTGAATAATAATCTATGTCAACTATAATTATATATACATATAGTCACAGGACATGGAGTAGAGAGCGGGAATGGAGTCAATGGAATTGTAATAGATAAGCGTGATATCGGGGGTGGGAGGGCAGTAGAGGGGGAGGGGAGTTGTTTCTTTGCAAAGGGTGAAAAGGATAACTATTGCAATGTTCTGTACACCTGAAACTAACAATACAAAATAAATTAATTAATTAAAAAAAAAGAAAAGATTTCACTGTGAAGGTGACTCTTGAGCAAAAATTAAGGCAGGAGGATGGGCTATGTGGATATGCAGGAGAGTACTCCCGGGCATGGTACAGATGCACCAAGGCCAAGAAAGAACAGCATTCTTATGATCATGAAGCGACAGCACGTAAGCTAATGTGGGCAGAGTTTAGTGGGTGAGGGAGGTGGAAGTAGAAGATAAGGGCCAGATAGCCAGAGGTGGATGGCAGCTCTGTTGTGTAACTTTCCAAAGAACTTTTATTCTGAGGAAGAGGGAGAATGATGTTGTGGGTTTTGAGCAGAATACCTACAGATGCTGACATGTTTATTTTATTTTATTTTATTTTTATTTTAATAATATTTTATCCTGATATATTCAAAAATATTATTGCAATATATGATCAATATAAAAATTAAGGAAGTATTTTATATTTGTTTCTCCCAACCTTTGAAACTAGTATCTATTTTACATTTACAGCATATTACTATTTGGACTAACCACATTTCAAATGTTTAATTGTCACTGGCTACCATCTCGGACAATATAATGTTAGAGTGTTAAAAAAATATCTATCATACATATAAGATAAATCTGTCCACAATTTTATTTCAGTTATTTTAAATATGAGGTTAAGCACACATTCCAGTTGTAAATAAATAACATAGTGTGAACTTCATGTTCATACTTGTTTTTCAGGGAACCACAATACACACATATAGGATAAATATAATTAAGTAACAAAATATATGCCCTAAACATAAATGTTTATTTTAAAAGCAGAGTTCAATAAAATGTATTTAATGCCACTTTATTCCACTGTCTCCCAAATATATTATCAATGAATCATTTAAATCATATATCCTCTGCTACAGTTAGCATTTTTAGAAATATGTTTTCTGATTTTTTAATAATCTTATTCTTAAATTAATGACTAATATTTTTTTCACTTTGATTTAAAATAAATGCACGAATCATCGTAAGTCTTCTAGTGAGAACCTGTTCAGTGTGAAGTATAACTAGTTTGAGTTACTTTGTCCAACAATTAGTAGTGAAACACTTTCAGAGAGCCTGTAAAACCTAATATACCACAAGAATTAATGTTTTATGTTCAGTTTTTTTACATATTAAAAAAAAAGCTCCAGCCTACTGTTGCCTCTAAGAACCCTAGGGGAACTAATGTACTACACTGAATATAACCTAATCATTCTTTAATGCTTAGGAATTACTGAAATATTTTGTCGTGCCTCAGGGTCATCACAATGAAAAGAAATGCATGTATGTATGTACGTATTTATGTTAACAAGATATGTGCAAAATACCTTATTAGCAGAAGCTGACATGTTTTTAAAGCATCACACTGGGTGTCATGTTACGACTTGCAACTGCTTCCACTATGAAATATTAACTTGAGCTCACCCTGCACTGATCAGCTCTCTTTCTCTGTGGTTTCTACTACACCTCAGCCCATCAAGTTCTTGATTCACCAAGAACTGTAATCAGTGAGACTGTCCCCCGTTTGGCCTTTGAGTTCCCAGGAAGTTTACAGACTGAAATTAGGTGAAGTCATAAATTAACTGGAAATTTATGAGACTCCACTCATTCTCTCTATATTTCTCCTTTCCATAGATTTTCTGCTGGGTGAGACCTCTTGGCTTCTCCACCTCTTTGTCTGTCTCTGTACTGACTATACAGGACAAATGTCTCTACAGCCAAGATAATTGCTCTGCCTTTATTTACGTGGACCCTTTAATCTAAAGCTGAGACCCACACCCACTGGAGATTCTTGCTCCTGAGCTCTGTAGTAAAGCCTATGTATCACTATGTTCGAAAGGCTTACCAAGCAATTCTGAGCGTGGCCAAGGCTGGAGAACTCTAGTCAAGACCATCGTGTTCTCACTATGATTTCAGAGGTCAACACCCATTTCACTCCAGATGATTTGTTAAGGTCGCCCATGTCATATTCACTCCATTGCCCTTTGACAATGTGATGGCCTTGGGAAGATGACTATGACCCAATCCTGGCCATTGACATGTGAGAGGAACTGTGCTGGAGATTTCTAGGAGTTTTCCTCACTTCTAATTTCCTTCTAAGAAGGAAATTTTAAAAACAGGTGGCCCCTCTTCAACTAGGTATATCCTGTTGTGACATGGTGTCTGAAATTGGCCGCCTGTCTTTACCCACCCAAGGACAATGTGGGTACACAGAAGGGAGAGCCAATGGACTACCAGGGAAGGTCTGGACCTTCCATGGATGACACCCAGAGCTGGCCCTTTCTTGGGACTTCTTGTTACGCAGATAACACATTTCTGTCGGGTTTAAGCCAGTTTGAGATGGATTCTTTTGACCTGGTTGTATCCTAACTGAAGCATCCATGGAAGTTAACAGTTTTCTCTTCACAACACTCCTGCATTTGGAACCTAGCCAGGTATTTTTGTGAAAATTGCTGACTCATACTCTGAGCATAAGCCCCAGCAGGTTCTAAGGGTTTGATGGTAGTACTGGGTGACACTAGAATAAAAAATGATGCAGAAGAGTCAGTGACCCCCAAAGAGCCTCAGCTTTCTCTTTCACTCATGTTGGGGCCACATTTGGGACACATTTTGTTCTTCAAACAGAACCCACTCCATATCGCAGTAGTAAATGTAGTGGATTTTACTTAAAATTCTGTGGGTTATGAATGCTGTCAAACACCATAGTTAAAACTTCAAGAATATCTCCTTAAATATCTCTCTTTTCTTCCCCCAGTTTCCTCCCACGGTGAAAACAGTGCCTCATATCTTCTCTACACCCTACAGCCTTTTCCATCCCTCTTCCCATACAGCTTTACCATCTCCTCCATTTTCCAAAGCAATGCAGTTCTGACCTTTGGCCCGCATGCTCCTCAGCCCCTCACTTCCCAGCCATTCACACAGAACCCAACAATCAACCCACTCTCACGCCAGAGAATTCATTACATAAAATAGATCACTTCCTCGGGAAAAATACTGCTAACAACATTTTTTTTTTAACATCAGTATACCCTGAGCAAATATTTGCTGTTCTGTGTACACCGACAGTTCTCTTCTATGCGCTAAGGGAGGAGGGAATAAAAGCAATTATTTACTTGTAGCACACATAGCATTACTTATGTATGACTCAAGGACGCCCTCTCCTCTTCCTTCCTCCCCTCCCCCTTCTATCATCTTGCCTTCCTACTTTCTTCCTTCTCCCTTCCCGACTTCTCCTTCTCCTTACAGGACTGGAAAATCCTAAGGGCCTTTGAGTTCTGAACAGTTGTCTTGTTCAGCCTGATTGTGTACGCCTGGGAACAGTTTGAATGTCTTCCAACTCCATTAACCCAGACTGGTTCAGTAAAGCCCCCATGGGTCAGCCAGCTTCTCTAGTAAACACTGGGAGGCAGGGGTGCCACTCTGAAATAAAGCTAGCCAATCCTAAGCCTGACTACCCTGACTGACCCTCTCCTTCCTTTGGAAGCCACACTAAAGGCACTTGCTTTCAGTTTCAATCTCTGCCTCATGACCAGCCCTGGTATATCCCCTGAGTGGTTTTATATAGCATGTTGTATTGTCTCCAGGGAACTGTGACTATAAACTATCTTTCAACTTTCCAGTTCTTTCTCTCTTGATCTGTGCCTGGTCCTATCATAACTCACTCAAGGCAATATGGTTAAAACATTGGCAACCAACCACAGCCTCAATGACCTAGAAATGTAAATGGCTCTTTTGAGGCAGAAGAGGGAAGGGAATGGTGAGATGGCACACTGAAGGGGAGGAGGGGCAGGTGAGCCATGTTTCCTTAGGGAGACATAAGGAAATCCATGCAGCATGTCCCTGGATCACACACTAGTTCTCAGTCTCATAAAACCATAACTCTTGTGTGAGAGCCACACCCTAGAGGACAATCCTAAACCCGCTATGTTTCAGGAACCCACCTGGATTCCGGTCTAACCCCTGAATTGAAAATGTTCACTAGCATAGTGTTCCTCGATGGCGTGCCGACACTCTGGTCCACTGTGGTCAGGTTTGTGGGATACGACATTTAAACTAGAATACTGGGAACCACGGTGCCTGCAGACGTGCTGCTACCTGAGTGTCAGCCCAACACCAAAGTCAAGGAGCATTCGGAGGGTGTTGCACACGCGACGTACCATTGGAAAGGCTTGGAATTATGGCTTCAGCCACCTCTGCTTGTACAGTAACTATTGGAAGAGCAAGTATAGCATAGGCTGATTCACTGAGACCTCTACTGAGTTCCCCAACAGAA